AGGAGAGGGCGCAACTGAGGCGTGAGCACGTGTACATGCCTCGCACAGGCGACTGCCCAGTTATCCTTGAGTTCCGTCGAAGCAGGGTGACACATGTACACGAGACACAAGAGCAAGAGCAAGAGCAACAACAACTCCAACAGGCCACCAGCAACATCGTCTTCATCATCAAGGTTAACAAGGACACAAACATCCCTGCAGTGGCACACCTCGTTGGCGAGGCCCTTGGCGCGGTCGCGTGTTTCCTTGGACGAGTTTGTGGTGCCCATGTACATGGTGAAGAAGATCTTGGCTGCAATCTCCTGCGGTGTCGACGGCACAAACTCCTCATCACGTACAATTCGCCGCACATCTGCGAGAACTTGCTCGTTGCCATTTTCAATCGCCTCGACAACAAGATGGCACATGGAGCACACGATGCTGGCCGTGGATGAGCTGTCCATTCCGCCGCTCAACGGGAGGAAAAATCCACCCTGCAGCGAAACGCACAAAGAGAAAGGGGTTTGGGGATACAAAGGGGGCATTGCATGTACGGATGCATGAGTGTTGCATTTTGTAGTAGTGTTGTGTTGTAGATTGTGTGCGTGCGTTTGGTTAGGCGATGGGGTGGGGGCGGGGTTTGAGATGATGCCATGTGGGTGCGTGTGTTTGCAAGGAAGAAGGAAGAAGCACAAGAGAAGCGCAGGGAACAGCGTGCGACGCACAGCGAACGTCAGCACCCATCCAACCATCTAAGCATAGGAGCAAAGGCACGGAGGGTGCGAACCAGGCCAGAGCGGCGCAAGTAGTCCCAGAGCCAGCAGGCGGGGCCGAGCGCAATCTCCTGCTCCGGCGTGTGCAGAAACGGCTCAATCGGGCGCGTGGGCCTTTAAGTGGTGAGCCATTGGTGTGGTGATCGGAGGTAGGTGGTGGGTGTGGCGGAGACATTGAAGTGTGAGTGTGTGCGGGGATGGTACGGGGCGAAACAAGCACAACGTGGCATGTACATCATCGAAGAATTATGTTACAACGAACACACTACCTAACCAAAACCTCCAGCATAAGCAAACAAGAGTGCAAACACACACACGCACACGCACACATGCGCACACACACACACACACACACACACACACACACACACACACGTATGCGACTGCTTAAACAGCGGGGTTTGAGATGATGCCATGTGGGTGCGTGTGTTTGCAAGGAAGAAGGAAGAAGCACAAGAGAAGCGCAGGGAACAGCGTGCGACGCACAGCGAACGTCAGCACCCATCCATCCATCTAAGCATAGGAGCAAAGGCACGGAGGGTGCGAACCAGGCCAGAGCGGCGCAAGTAGTCCCAGAGCCAGCAGGCGGGGCCGAGCGCAATCTCTTGCTCCGGCGTGTGCAGAAACGGCTCAATCGGGCGCGTGGGCCTTTAAGTGGTGAGCCATTGGTGTGGTGATCGGAGGTAGGTGGTGGGTGTGGCGGAGACATTGAAGTGTGAGTGTGTGCGGGGATGGTACGGGGCGAAACAAGCACAACGTGGCATGTACATCATCGAAGAATTATGTTACAACGAACACACTACCTAACCAAAACCTCCAGCATAAGCAAACAAGAGTGCAAACACACACACGCACACGCACACATGCGCACACACACACACACACACACACACACACACACACACACACATATACCTGGCCGAGCCGTGCTCCATGCACATGTCGTGGCCGGTCTGGATGCGCGGGTAGGCGTTGCTGACGGCTGCTTGGTCCGCAAGCGAGATGAGCGAGCCCCTGTACGTGCGAATGTCCTCAAGGTCAATCGTCGCCGTCAGCACCTCCACGTCGCGCAGAGAGAACTGGGACCCCTGCGCACGTGTGGCGGCGGCGGCGGCGGTGGTGGTGGTGAGGATGGAGTGGAGAGGAAACAGCAGTGGCCATGAGGGAGGTGAACGATGTGCACGACGATAGTTTGTGCCGCACGTCAAGCATTGAGCGGGGGATGGTTGCAATGGCACGATCACCGAAAGAGCACACTGACATCACCGTCAGCCATGAGCATGCAATTTCAATGGCACAATCCCTGCCTCACCTGCGCCAGGATCTTTCCGTTGAGAACAATGAGTGCGCACCCGTCGTAATACACGCGCTCGCCATCGTTGCCCTAATGGAAAGGACAACGTTAGGGTTCACAGTGATTGCTGCGGTGCTGTCAAATAAGCGGACAGCAGAAGTTGCCGCCACAAACCTCGAACACACATACACACACATACACACACAGACACACACACACTCTCTCTCTTCTTGCTATTGTGTTCATTTTAGTCGCAGGGTAAGGGCAAACGAAGCAACGAACCTGCGAGTTCGCGTACAGATACACGCCTCCACTCTACAACGAACAGCGGGCGGGGAACACAACAACAACAGGCGTGGTGTGAGATGGCGTTTGGAGGTTGCCGTTGCCAGTTGGAGGCACAGATCATCCTGGCGAACACGCAAGGAAGCAAGCAAGTCGCAACACACACACACACACACACACACACACACACACTCCTGAGGGGGACCTTTGCTGTTGCGTCACGCATGAGGTTGAGGCGGTAGTCGAGTTTGCGCAGTTCGTGGTGGCTGCCAGACCCGTTGGTGAAGATGTCAATGCCATCAAGGCCCATGTGGATGTGTGGGCTGGCGGTAATGGTGTGAGGATGGTGGTAGTGCCGGTGATGGTGAGTTGCTGCTGGACGGAGCGCAAACGCAAAAGTGTCATCTACCACCACCACCACCACCACCACCACCACCACCACCACCACCACCACCACCACAACAACAACAACAACAACAACAACAACAACAACAACAACAACAACAACAACAACAACAACAACAACAACAACAACAACAACAACAACATCATCATCATCATCATCATCATCATTACGAAACAGCGCCACCACTATCAGCAGCAGCAAACGTGTTGTGGCTGTGCGCACACCTGTTTGGGGACCAGAGCTCCTCGCAGATCTCAGAGCCGATGGTGACGTCGTTTGCAGATATGACGCCGTCCCCAAACGGAACAGAGAGCTGGCCCGTCACCTTGCGCACCACCGCAGGCAGATTGAAGTCCTCAAGCGTCCTGCACGTTTGTGCATGCGTGCATGCATATGGGTGAGTGTACACGAGTCGGTGGGTGTGTGGTTCTCTCCGCTCTGAACGTTCTGAACATTGGATTCACTGGGACGCTGTCAGTTGCAGCGCATCGCACATGACATTGAACCAGCTGCCAGCAGGGGATCTGTTACTTGTGCTCTCCCACCTGTGCCTGCGCCAGGGCGTGAACCAGCGGCCCTCGCGATAGTTGCCGTTCATGGCAAGATACATCTTCGGGCGAATCAGCAGCACCTTCCTACAACGTGAAAATCAGCGAGAGAGGCAGAGTGAGAGTGTGAGTGTGTGTGTGTGTGTGTATACGAGAGAGAGTGTGTGTGTGTGGGTGTGTGTAAGTGAGGCACAGACACACGCCTTTTGTGTTGGCGGAGAGAGGCAGAGACAGAGCTGGAAACGCACCCGTTGAAGAAGATGATGCGGCAGTTGTAGCGCACAGACTTGTGCATCATGGGCCTGGTAGACACACACAAATCACAATCAGAGCCCTACGTGCGAGTGTACGCGACCACTACCGACACAGACAAGCAGACAAACAGACAGACAGACAAACAAACAAACAAGCAGACAGACAAACAGACAGACATGCACACACACAGAGACGCACGCACACACACAAAACAGACAGGATTCACGTACAGGCCGACGTCGACGACAATGTCCTGGCAGTCTTCGTGGGCGATCAGCTTGGCCAGCATCTGCCCCATCAAAAGTGTTCGCCATGAAGTGGGCGCATGTGAAGTAGATGTGAGCGCAATTCCATGCGCGTGTGAGCGTGCTCATTGGTTTGGTGACCGCGAGGCAGAAATACCACCGCCGAAGCGACTGTCGACACCTCAAATCAAAGCAGGAGAAGCAGAAATGCAGCCATCCTACCTGATACGAGTGATAGAACGTATCCGGCTCATAGAAGTGGTCGTTGCAGCCATATCCACTGCGTGTGCGGTTGTGGTGGATTGTACATACACGTGGTGAATGAGCAGGTAAACGCAGGTAAGCGCAGCACTGTCACATGGCGTTGGTGACGGCAGCAATTCGGTGGGCAAGCAATGTTGTTGGTGCAAGCATCATCATGAAGATTTGCATCACCTGATCTCCAGCTCAGGGCCAACACGAAGAACGGCACCCCTCTTCTTGGATTCCCGAATACCTTTCAATGTGCGTGAATGTGTGAATGTGTGTGTGTGTGTGTGTGTGTGTGTGTGTGTGTGTGTGTGTGTGTGTGTGTGTGTGTGTGTGTGTGTGTGTGTGTGCATGGACATGACACGAGTGGGCGGGACCTAGCGACACCGCGCAAATGTCTGCCACATGTCCACACAACGTCAACCACTTCTGTTATGACTGACTCACTTTCCAGGATGCGCTCATAGTTGCCTTCAAAGTCCAATGCCCACTGGTTCAGGGAGCAAGTGGCCACTGTGATCAGCGACATACTGCTGGTGGTGCTTGTGTGCTGTGCTTGTGGTGGTTGCACACTGAAGGATGAGTGAGGCAAGAGCAGGAAAGATGACTGGTGTGGGTTTGTCGCTGCTTCTGCTTGTGCTTCTGCTTGCTTGTGCTCTTTGCTTCTTGTTCCACAGCAGTTTGCGCAAGCCACTGGGAACGGTCTGAATTCAGTCTCTGCCTTGTTTGTTTATGTTTCGCGCACACGCGCGCATTCGTGCATGTCGCGATTCATTCAGATACAATCGGTCAGAACACACACACACACACACACACACACACACACACACACACACACACACACACACACACACACACACACACGCACGCACACACACACACACACGCACGCACGCACACCAAACACCACAGACGCACGCACACACACGTATGTCATGCTGCGAGGCGCGCCATGGCGTGCTCGAGGTCTGCGATCGTGTCGTCAAACGAGTTGCACAGCAGCGCTTCAACCATCGGCAGAACACGCGGCCAGTGTGCAGCAAGCAGCTCCCGCTCGTCTCCATACTGACCACCTCCAGCGGCAGCGGTGGTGGCGGCAGCACTGTACGCAAGCGCCGTGAGCAAGGTGGCGCCCCAGGAGCCCGCACACCGCGAAAGCGAGAAGCGAAGCCGTGTGCCGTGTGTGTGCAGGAACGTCTGCGCAGCAACATCGCGAGATGCGGCCTGCGACAGACACGCAACCAGCACGCGCAGTGCACGGTAGCAGCGGGCAACCGTCGCAGTGTCCAGCATCGCGGCTGCTGCCGCTGCGTCCTGCTGCTCTACAAGCACGGAGGAGCGGCGGCCCTGGCGGGAAGAGGACACCGTCGGTAACGGCGACGACGACAGCGACAGGGGTGACGACGATGATGGCGGTGGCGGTGAGGATAGCGCCTCCCGTGCACACGCGCGCGCGATATCAAAGGTGCGCATGACGAACCGAGCAGCAAAGTCAAGCAGCGCCAGCCGTGTTGTGGCCAAGGGACGGCTCGCTTCACCGCCACCGCTCCCAACAGCAGTGACAGTGCTGGAGGTTGCGGACCATGGCGATGAGGCAGGGGTTGGTGATGATGACGACGTGGGCAGCGAGGACGGGGAGGATGGGGTTGGTGTCTCACTGCCATCATAGCTTGCACTGCTGCTGCCATGGGTGCTGCCAAAGTGGATACTGTTTGCGCTGTCGGTACTCGTGTTGCTGCTCACGCTGCTGCCTCTGCCATCGGGTGTCCGCTGTGCTCGCGTGCGGTCCTGCCGCCCCACAGCAGACCACAACCACACGCGCAGCGCATGGCTGTGATACGCACCGCCACCGCCACCGCCACCGTTGCCGCCACTGCTGCCTCGATGGGCACCCGAGAGCGACGGCCTGCCCTCCTGTCGCAGCCTGCTGCCCACACGGCTGCTTCGGCGCCGGCGTGCTGGTGGCGGTGACGACGCCACAGCAGTTGGCGGTGACGCCGATGATGACGAGCACGCGGCTGCTGCATCAACCATCCCTGCCCCTGCGCTCGCTGCTGCGGCGGAGGTGAGTGCATCTGCCAGCTCGAGGGCACCGTACTTGGCGTCCCGCGCCAGCGGCAGCAGCAGCTCGGGGTATGGCCATGCACGCAGCAGCGTCCCCGTCATCGCAGGCACCGCTGCACACACGTCCGCCAAAGCCGGGCCACACGCCACTGCCGCTGGTGGTGTCTGCGGTGGTTGCGGCGATGGCACCAGGGATGACGACCTGCTGCTGTTGCTGCGCTGCTCGCGCTGGTGCTGGTCATGCCGGTGGTGACGGTCGTGACGGTCGTGATGGTGGAGGGTGTGGTGGTGGTGCGGCGTGTGCTGGCGCGGAGAGGCCGTTGGTGCGCACACGCGACTGCGCGTGACCATGGAGACAACAGCAGCGGAAAACTCTGGCAAGGCCGCAGACCACCGCACCGCCTGTACCAGCACATCCAGCACCAGCGCCAGGGATTCGAGCGTGTCCATAATCTCCTCTTCCTCCTGCTCATCGTCGTGTGTACCACCACCAGAGCACCAGCTGGTAGCGTCGTGGTGATCGTGATTGCTGTTGCTGCTGGTGCTGTTGCTGGTGCTGCTGAGATGGCTGCTGTGGCTGCTGTGGCTGCTGTGGTTGTCATGTTGAGCGAGTGCGCGCCTGTGCAGCCAGCGGCATGCACTGCGAGCATACGCAATGAGATGGCCTGCGAGGTGATGCTCCTTCCAGAACAGGCGGCGCACGCTCGTGCTTTGCCGCAGTAGCGTTGACAGCGTGTCCAGCTCCGAGGTTTTGGCAGACACGTCTGCCTCGCTCAGCAGTGCATGGGCGATGCGCCGAAACGCCGCTGTTGCCTTGTTGGGGTCGAGTGATGGTGAGCACAGCGCACCAACAGAGCACGGGAGCCAGTGCTCACCACCACCAATGCTGCTGCCACTGCAGTGATCGTTGCTGTAGCTGGTGTGTTTCCCGTTTCTTCCACCATCTGCGTGCGTGGTCGCTGCATCATGGCCGTGTGGGGGATGCGTGGTGGCGGTGGCGAGCGTGGTGAGCGCCAGCTCTTCTTGATGATGGCAGAATATGGCTGGAAGCGCGGAAGTCGCTGCCAGGGTATACAGGTCCATGCGCGTCACTGCTTGCCCTGCGTCTGCCTCATCGCCGCTCCACACGCCGCTGCTGCTTGTGCTGGCGCTGCTGGTGCTCGCGCGGGACGAGATGGAAGGGGCCAGGCTGACCAGCGACGTGCTGAGGCGCGCGGCAGACGCAAGCTGCTGCCCTCTGTCGTGTGCCGACGGCAGCGTACTTGATGCTGTTGATGCCGTTGACGCCGTGCTAATGCGCCGCCTGCTCTGTGGTGACGCGGGCGACGACGACGATGACGACGACGATGGTGGTGGTGGTGGCGGCGGCGATGGCGGTGGGTGCGCCAGGCTGCCCAAGACGCCTGTGGTAGGCGGGACTGCCGTTCCCCTTGTTGTCGTGCTGGTATTGGGGGCCGTGCCAGTGGGTGTCAGGTCAACGGATGCGCGCGTGGATACTGTGCTGCTGTTGCGGTCGCGGCCCTGACGAATGACCAGCCGTGCAAGCGACGTTGGGGACGATGACGTCGCTGGTGGCAATGCTACTGATTGTGATGGGGATTGTGCTGCCGTTGCTGCTGCTGCTGCTGTTGTTGTTGTTGTTGTTGCTGCTGCTGCTGTTGTTGTTGTTGAGCCTGGCGTTGCAGTCACGGTCGATGACAGGGTGTGGCGGCGGGGATGTGGGCGAGCAGGGTGGTGGGACGGCGACGACGATGAGGACGATGCTGGCGATGGAGATGGAGATGCGTTGTGCAGCGGCGACAGCGACGGCATTGGCCGCGATCTCGGACAAGACGATGGCACCGACGCCGATCCTGCTGGCGAGAAGGAATCCCTCCTCCTGCTGCTGTTGTTGGCGGTGTAAGCACTGACGTCAAAGTCATGGGCGGGGTTGAGCATGGTCGGGGATAACGAAACGCGCCGCGCACGTTGGCTGCTACTCGGATGTCGCGACGGGTCGGGCGACGGCGACAACGTGGCGATACTTGGACTGGTCCTGCTGTGCTGGCCTTGATTCACGTCATGCTTGTTCTGACCTTTCCGTGTACGTGTGCGCATGCGCGCAGGCATATACGTGGATCCCTGTGTGGACGCTGGCTGCGCGTCTCCTGGGATGGGCGCAGGCTGGCCCTTGCTGCGCCATAGCGTGAGCCGGCGCGGGGTGGAGGGTGATGGCGCTTGCAGATTGGATGGGGCAGACACTGAAGGCGGTGATGACTGGGCCGTAGGTGCTGTTGATGACGCCAGGGGAGTGTTTGTGGGCCTTACACGTCGCGACACGAGCGGGGACAACGACTTTGGGGAGGCCGGCAACGACGCCGAGGATGCGGTTCTTGTTGTTGTTGGTGTGGGTGGTGCGAGGGTCAAGCTAGCGCGGTGGCCCTCGCCTTTGGTGGTCGCAGTGTGGCTGCTGCGGCTGCTGCGCGGGCCTGAGAGGCGGTTGCTGGTGTGGTTCCTGTCCACGCTGCCGCTGGCTCGGGATGCTGAAGCGTCACGGCTGGATGTGGCGTTGGTTGGCGTGGCGCCTCGGCTGCCCCGGCGTGCCTGCGCTTTTGCTGCAGCGGGGACGGGAGACGGCGGGTGCACCTCCACGACCGGAAGCGCTGCTCGGCTGGCATGCCGGGAGCTGCTCGCGCTGCTTTGGTTTGTGTGCAGCGGCAGCTGGTGCGCGATGTGCAGACCGATGTGCTGGGCGCGGTCGCCAATGTCCTTTGACAAGAAGCTGGGGAGCCGCTCGTCCACGCTGACTGCCTTGATGGTCTCAAGGGCCACACGCTGCACAATCTTGCGCGGCGGGTTGTCGAGCAGCAGGGCCTCTGTGCTGGTGAGGACGAACCAGCGAACGGTCTTCTTGCGACCATCAATGACGCAGACCACAGGTTCGAAGAGCACCACGCTGGCGCGGTACTCACTCGCGCTGAGCTCTCGTCGCAGAAACCGGTCGACATGGTCGCGAGCCGCCAGCTTCGCCATGGCACGCGGTTGGCATGAAGAAGACCAACGCGACAAGACGCCAGGGAGATGGTGATGGTGGTGGTGTGGTGGTGACCTTGGAGAAGAACAAACGGAATGGGGCAAACGGAGGAGCGTAGGGAAGGGGGAAATGAACAAGCGGGGGAGGGGCGAGGTCGAAGCGGACGAGAATGAGAGTTGAGGATGGGTTGTGAGTATGGGTTGTGCTTTGGTTGTTGCAGATGTGAGAGTGTCAGCCAAGTTTTTCGCGTCGTTGTTTGGGTTTTGGGTTCGCTTGCAGCCTTTTCGCTTCGCTGTTTGTTGTTGCTTGTTGTTGGTCGGCTTTGCAGCACCAGTCACCGAAACAAGGCTCGAGAATTTATGCAAATTTTCCACAAATCGTCCCTATCTCACGTGTTTGAGAACCAGCCAACCGAGCGAGCGAGCCGAGCCAGCCGAGCGAGCAAGCGTGCAAGCAAAGCAACCTTCCTCTTCACCGCCAGCAGCACCAGCAGCCATGTTTCTGATGTTCTACCTGGACAGCGAGGGCAAGCGCGTCTACACCCTCAAGGTTGGTTGTGGTTATGAGTGGTTGTGTGATTATGTGTGCGTGCGTGTGTGTGTGTGTGTGTGTGTGGTTGTAAAGTATGTGGCTGTGCGTGTGTGTACGTGCATGTGCGCAGCCATATGCAGCCGAGTTCAGCCGTGTTCTGCTATGTACAACTGTGTACAGCCGTGTACAATGGAGTGATGTGTTTTGGGACCATGACTCTTTCCTTTGCAGCTGGCAACACCTGCGTACGTGTGCTCGATGAAGGCTGTTCACTCACACACGTTGCCGTTGCTGATGCTCTCCTCCTTGTTCCCATCACAGAAAGTCGACCCCAACGGCAACCCCACACAGTCTGCACACCCTGGTGAGTTTGCGCTTGCCGCTTCTTTCCTTTGCTGTCATTCTTTTCCGTTCATCGTTCATCACTCGTTTTGATTCACCACGCGTGCGTGCACAACTTACCACACCATATCGCAAGCACACACACGCACACACGCACAACACATGCACCTGCGCACACTAACTCATACACACTCGCATGTGCATGTGCATGTGCTCGCACTTCTCCTCCACCATTCCGCTTCATGTACGCACTCACTCATGTGTTCTTGGTTCTTTGTCACCCACACCCACACTGCGCCATCTCAACAGCACGATTCTCCCCGGATGACAACTACTCGAGGCACCGCGTGACGCTGAAGAAGCGCTTTGGCATTCTCCCATCACAACAACCGGCCAAGCGCCTGTAACCTTGCCTGTAACCTTGTCCTCCTGTTCAAACAAACCACCTGTTCCTCTCTCCCCTCCCTGTCTCTCGCCTTGTAACCGGCTCCCTCGATCACGTCATGCCATGTGATGCGGGACCGGCAATCTGGCTGTAGCGCTTCTATACTTGCCCATTCCCTCCTTGCTTGCTTTGCTTTTCGATGTTGTGTGCCGCTGGCGCGCACTCGCTCGCAGCTCTTGTTGTAGTGTCTCTTGACGTTGATCGTGATTGCTGGTTGTCCTTTTCCCTACGTGTTGCCCGGCTGTTCCGAGGCCCTTTGTATCGTATCGTTGAGTAAAATCCCCCCCCCCCCCAAATTCCATCAGCTTATACGTATGCATTCACGCGTGTGTGTGTGTGTGTGTGGGTGTGAGTGGGTGTGGGTGTGGGTGTGAGTGGGTGAGGGTGAGTGGGTGAGGGTGATGAAAAAGTGGGTGGAGGTCACAGCGGGACCGCGCACAGCGGCTCCTCAATGGGCAACGCATCAACAAAGCGGAGCGTGGTCTGATCGCCGCCATCCTGCTGCAGACGGTACAGTTCAAGGAACCCGCCACCTTTCAGGCCTTTGTCGAACTGATGGTGGCATCGTGATGGTACGCGTGTAGAGACAGGAAAGAAAGCAAGAACAAGAGTGAGTGGTGATGTGTGTGTGTGTTGTAAAACGTGAGATTAACAGCCCTGAGCAACGCCACGAGCGTGCACGCGCGCACACACACACACACACATACATACACACGCACACACACATACATACGCACACACACATACATACACACACACCTGGGTTGTGACGGCGAGCAGATCTTGCGTGACAAAAGCGGCATGCCACGGCAATGCACCTTTCGTAAATACGTGGCTAGTCAGAGACAGCTTGGACACCAGAAAACAGAAGAAAGCAGGCGGGGGAAGAGGGAAAAGGTGGGCAAGGAAAAATGGGAAATGTGAAGGCGTGAGAAGGAGAACAACAGCTCTTAGGAACACACACACACACACACACACACACACACACACACACACACACACACACACACACACACACACACACACACACACACACACACACACACACGCACGCACGCATGCACGCACGCAAGTACCTGGCCGGTGCCTTGGTTGACGTGGAAGATTGCCAGCGAATCGTGACCTGAAACGAGGCGCCAAGGTTGTGAGAGGAAGCACACACACACACACACATAAAACACACACACACACATAAAACACACACACACACATAAAACACACACACGCACCCATAAAACACACACACATAAACACACACGAGCACACACGCACACACGCACACACGCACACACACATACACGTACACACATGCACACACACATAAACACACGCACACATTTTCGTGATCCCCAGCGCACCTCTGTTTGTGCAGATGACGATGTTTCCATCGGCAGATACGACGACCTCCGCCGCGTGGTTGTTGGCGGTGTAAAACTCAAACGGCGGCGGCGCGTCGTAGTCGCCAGGAACACACGCGTCAACCACCTGTGCAATGGTGAGGCGGCCATCGGGAGTAACAGCAGCAACAGTCACGCCGTTGTCAAGCTCATGCAGGACGTAGGCAACAGGCAGCGTCGGATGGAATGCGAGATGCCTGGCGTGTTAGCAGGTGCATACAAGCAGTGCGTGCTGGTGCGGGTGAGCTGACACGAAGATGTGCAGAGCGAGGACGCGTGCGGGTGCATCGAACAAAGCATGCAGCATGCATGACAGCACACCACACGTGAAAGTGAGGGGGGGAGGCAAAGCAAGGGGCGGACCGCACCTCGGTCCTGCTCCAGGTCGAACTTGGAGCGCATCAACAAACACAAGTTGTCCTTCCTCGCTGACCTTAAACCTCTACACCCGATATTGCACGAAAATCTGTTATGGATGAGTGTGTACATGCGGGTGTGCACGTCTGTGCAACACTCACGTGTATGCATCTGTTTGAGCATGAGTCCACGTGTGCATGCGTGCTACACTCATGTGTCCGTACGTTGACAGAGTCGGTGCCAAGATCACAGATGTACACGTGTGCGCTGTCCCTTGAGGCCACTGCCTGATGCGGGTGCGACCCGTCCTGCCGCCCCTGATTCGAGGTGGTGGGAAGACAACATGAATACCATTGCCATCACAGAATGAACAAACCCGAAGTGCCCACGGAGACGCAAGCAGTCGCCACTCGTGGCAGAACACCTATCGCGGCCCATGTGCTGTGCATGGCAGATGCAGACGACGGGCAGCACCTTGCCGGTGTAATCATCTGGGCCTTGGCGGACGGTACACAGTGGCGCGGTGAGCTTGAACGTTGCCTTGTCCAGTCCACAGCACGAGATGTGTCCTGTTTCGTAGTTGGTGACAAAGCACCACCGGTGGTTCGGCGAGACGCTCACATGACATGGGCCCTGGGTCGGTGAGAGCCGGTGGGAGTTGCAGTTTTGATTGACAACGGCATGAGGTCAGCGCAACCTCGTCTCGTGTGGCGCTCGCATGCACACACACACACACATCACAGGAAGAGCAGTGGCACCCGAACCTGCACACGCACACACACACATACATACACACACGCACACACATACATAGATGCGCACCTTTCCGCCGGTTGGAACTCTGCAGAGTTCCCGAGTTGCACCAGATTCTTCATCAAAGGCAACAGACAGCAAGGCTCCTTGCGTTGTGTCGTCGTCGCTCAGCTGCTGGCTCACTGCGCGGTTACAAATTTCAAGAGCGGGCGAGGCGCAGAGCATGTGAGACGCAGAGCGTGTGGGTGCACACCAAGCAAGTTCATAAGCACACACACGCACGCGCGCGCGCGCACACACACACACATTCACGCACGCACACACACACACACACACATTCACGCACGCACGCGAACACAACCTGTGATCATGTGGGTGGAATCCAGGGGCGCAGCAAACATGGGCCGCTTTGCGAGGAGGGTAGACGCCTTCAACGCCAACTTGGCGTCTGCACCCTTTTGGCTGCAGCCAACCACATGCACATGGCCAGTGCCACACCCAACAGCCACCAACAACTCATCAGCCATCTGCTTGCTTGTGTTTTCCACTGCTGTCCTCCCTCCTTTTTTTTTGTGTTGTGTTCGTTGCGGAAAACACAACAGTCGCTCGCTGATTTCAGAGGTCGTTGGTCCACAGACAAAAGCAGTGTGCTGGTGTTGGTGTGCTTGGTGCTTGGTGCTGGTGCAGTGTGAACTCTCATCACGTCAAGTACGGTACATACGGCTGTCAGACACTCGCAGGGTAGGGGTGCAGCACCATGCCGAAGCCAGTCAAGGCCACAAAAGGCGGGGGCCGCCTGCTGCGCATGAACATGTCCCACTACATCCCTCTGCCGCTGGACAGCCTGATGCATGCTCTGCTCAAGGAGATTCCAGACGAGAAAGACAAGCTCCGCTTCATCGACTTTGCTCGCAGGTGTGCTTCGTGTGTGTGTGTGTGTGTGTGTGTGTCTGTGTTTGTGTGTGTGTGTGTGTGCGTGTGTGTGTGTGTCTGTGTGTGTGTGTGTGTGTATGTGTCTGTCACTCTGTATCCGCCTCTTCTTTGCGTACCTGTGCCTCTTCTTTGCCCATCATGACCCACGATTTTTATTGATTGGCTGGCTGCTTGCGGTATCCTGGCCATGCGCCGTCCTTCTCACACGCCTGACTGCTGTCGTGCATGTGTGACGACCAGGCTGCATCACTTGTACCGCTCACGCATCACCAACCAGTCCTGGAGGCTGCGCAAAGGCTTCCAACTCTTCGCCAACAACGTCACCGTCGACCTCGGCTTCACGGAGGAGATTGTGGAGGCAGAAGAAGACTCGTTCATTGACAAGTGCGTCTGCAGTCTCAACATCATTTCATGCACGCATGAGTACATGCAGGGGTGCACACGCACACGCACGCACGCACACACACACACGTACACACATACACATACACACGCAATACACACACACAATACACACGCAATACACACGCATGCACGCACACACACACACTGCGCGCGCTGATTGGATCATCACTCACTCGCGCGTTCGTGCCTCATGGTTTTGCGTTTGGGTGGTCCCCAACAACAGCTTTCATCGCACCATGATGGAGGCCAACTTTGAGCTGCTCTCACAGGACACATACCAGGACGCCCTCAACTCTGGTGCGCTATTGTGTTTCCTCTTGGGGTTTATGTTGCTGGCAGTGCAAGCTCGCTGCCTTGCTCACACCTTGGTGCTCTTCGGTTATCACCCTTTGCTTCTTTGTGGTATTTTACAATGTGCTTGCAACTTCATTACCTGCGGTTGCCTTGGTGACCCACGGATTTCATGCACACACCCACGCATGCACACAACACACCACGCATATACACATGCATTTATGCATGTGCACAGAGTACACCTTAAACCTGGACTTGGAGCTTGACACAAACGCCCTCGACTCTTCCTTTCTCAAGCGCTTCTTCCTGCACCATGAGGTGCGTGTGTGTGTGTGTGTGTGTGTGTGTGTGTGTGTGTGTGTGTGTGTGTGTGTGTGTGTGTGTGCGTGTCGTGTGCGTGCGTGTGCGTGTGTGTGCGTGCGTGTGCGTGCGTGTGCGTGCGTGTGTCTGTATGTGTGTGTGTGTGTGTGTGTGTGTGTGTGTGTGTATGTGTGTGTGTATGTGTGTGTGTGCTTTCACGTCTCTCTGCCTTTGCCTTCGTGTGTGTGGTGTGCGTTTGCTCTCGGTTGTCACCGTCTGTCCCACCACCACCACCTCACCACCTCTATGCTGCACTCTTGCTTCGACCAAGTCCACTGACACGTGCTCGCCGCACACCATCCACCTCATGCGCAGGATGAGCTGGGCGATGCCGCCGACGTGACGCGACACGTGCTTGTGTATCACCGCGGGTACGGCCTTGACAAGACAAAGGGGCTCTTCATCATTGAGAAGGTGCTGCTTGCGCGGCCACTGCGCTGCTGCTTGCTTGCTTGCTTGCTTGCTCGCCTGCTTGCTTGCGGTGCGTATTGACGTTGCGACAGCACTCATCACGAAAACCAACCATGCGCCCTTCCTCACAAACGGCACCACCACGACGACCACCACCATCACCACAACTGCCCCCTCCTCTGTTCCTCCGTCTCCGCTCTACGCTCAACGCCGCCAACGGTCAGGTGGATGTGCTGTTTCGCAACATGTTCCACGTGCTCTGGCGCGGGCTGCAGTTGCTGCTTCTCTTCCTCTCCGTCTGGAAGTGGCCAGCCATCCTGCGCGGAGACATGGAGGATGACGATGCAGAGACAGAGGCATCCCTCGCTGCTCAGACCGCGGACACGTATGATGCGTGAGGCTCATGCGTGCACGTGATTGTTGTTCTTGTTTGGTGCACTCGCTTGGCTGCTGTGCTTTGTTGGTCTGCTTCTCCATGTGTTGGTGGGGTGACGTTTCCCACAGAAGCACGTTGTCCCTGAGTTGGCTCACGCTCGCTCGCACGCGCTCACATACACATGCACATGCTCACGCATATTCACTCCCACACACACACACACACACACACACACACACACACACACACACACACACACACACACGCGCACACACACACACGTGCGCGCGTTGTCCCGTTTGCACAGAATGCCATTTGATCCGTCCTTGTCAGTCACAGAACACAGCGTTGCGCAAAGCAGACAAGTTATCCTCAGGTTGTGAATCGTGCTTGTGTCTGTGCGTGTGTATGTTTGAACACGTTCCGTTCCCATTCACACCCAACGCTTGCTCACCATGATGTGTCCGTCATCATCATCATCATGGGTGTACACAGAAAGTCGCTTGAAGGCCTCATTGCTGCCGCTCCCTTCAGCACCCTCTTCTCTGTGTACGCGCAACGCTCTGGGCGCTTGTTGTTGTTCTTGGTGATGGCTGTGCAAACCAGTCGACACATGCATGTGTGCGTGTATGTCGTGATTCCCCATCACCTGGCCTGCAAATATGCCACTGAACAAGCAATGCACACACACACGCACACACACACGCGCACACACGCGCACACACGCGCACACACACACACACACGTGCCCGCGCGTCCCCAACAGTACCCAGCTGCAGGAGCCGACGTTCAAGGAAATGGTCGTTCTCTACCGCACCGCTGAACAGCGCGACGAAGCAGCACAGGTGCCCATGTCACGCCTGTCTGCGGGTGTATGTGAGAGAGAGAGAGTGTGTGTGTGTGTGCGTGTGTGTGTGTGTGTGTCTGTCTGTCTGTCTGTCTGTCTGTCTGTCTGTCTGTCTATGTCTCTGTGTGTCTCTGTGTGTGTGTGTCTGTGCGTTGTGTTGTTGTGCGCTTCAACACCGCATAGCGACGCCACCGACTCTGTCTGTATGTGACATCTGCAACGTTTACACCCTTCTGTCTCCCCCCCCCCTTCTCCACTCTCCCCTCGAACAGCGGCCGGGAATTCCACCCTCCATCTCTGTCAAGTCGTTCAAGAACATCCCTGTCGCTGATTTTGAGATTGTTCTTCCCTGCCAGCGCCCGACAACACGTGCGCTTGATCTCGTCAAAGTTCTCGCGGCCGTCCTCGTCGCCCTCGCAACCGTCGCCACAAAGGTGCCCGTGTGTGTCTGCATGTGTGTGTGTGTGTGTGTCTGTGTGTCTGTGTGTCTGTGTGTCTGTGTGTCTGTGTGTGTTCATCTGTGTTTAAAGGTCCTGGCTGACTTTCATCGGCAACACCGTGTTGCTGCTGCTTACTCACCAGCACCCTTTTGTATCTCTTGCTTGCTTGCAAGCAGTTCTGGCAGTTTTACGAGGAGGAGAAAGAGGAAAATGACTGGCACACGTCCACGTGGCAGGAGCGCTTCTCCGAAATTGCGCCCCTCTTGATCATCGTTGGCACTTATGCAAGCAAAATCCTCGTGCAAATACGGTCCGGCCGCGCGTGTGTGTGTGTGTGTGTGTGTCTGTGTCTGTGTCTGTGTCTGTGTCTGTGTGTGTGTGTGTGTGTGTGTGTGTGTGTGTGTCTGTGTCTGTGTCTGTGTGTGCGTGCGTGTGTGTGTGTGTGTGTGCATGCCTGCGCATGTCTGTGTATGCACGTTTATTGGTAATGCTGAACTGTTCGTTGCCACCTGCGTGATGAGGAGGCTCACTTGCTGTGCTGCGTTGTTTTCCACTGCCAGGACACAACAAGCGACGTATCAGAACCTCATGACCAACTACCTCTACCAGCGAACCACAGATTCAGATGACGGTATGATCATGGGCTTGCAATTCTCCACACGCACATGCACATACACACGCACACACGCATGCACACATATGTACACATATGCGCACATGCACGCGCAGTGTGCTGACTTGCCATTGTGCCCGCGTGTGTGTTTTCAAGGAGTGCGTGCGCATTTGGAGGACAGTACCATCCTGCAGGAAGTCAAAGAATCGCTCCTTGCCTTCTTCTTCCTGTGGAGATGCACCCCGAGTGGACCCGTGGTCAGTGTGTCGTGTGTGTGGGGGAGGGGGGAGGGTGTGTGTGGGGGGGGGGGGGTGTCTGTGTGTCTGCCTGTCCCTGTCTGCTTTTCCTGTCTGCTTTTCCTGTCTGCCTGACTGGCTTTGTTGTCCTCCTATTGGCGGATCCAACCACCCCTCTGCAAACGCCCAACGTTTCTTTCATGGCAGACTCTGGAGGACCTGGATATGCACGTGGAGCAGTTCTTGCTGACAATTGACAACAACGTCGACTTTGAGGTGCGACGCAACCCACCTTCCACAAGTGCTTGTTCAAATCTCACCTTGCGTGTATATTTATGTGAATGGACGCGTGTGTGTGTGTTGATTTATCATTGCACGCCTGCTGTAACCCCCCCCCCCTTCTTGCGTTCCCTTCTCACCTCCCCATCGTCCCTGCTTCTACTCCTTCGTGGCACATGTGCAGGTGGACGACGCAGTGCAGAAGCTGGTCGCAGATGGGATTGTCAACATCAACACGGAGGAACTGGAGCCAGAGAGCCAGCTGAAAAACCTCTCAATCAGTGAGTATGGGGTCATGGGTCGTGGCATGTCGTGACGTGTGATGGCCTGTTCTCGCACGCTTGCCCCTCGTTTTCGCGGCCGCTTTGTGTTCTCACGATTCGTGAGTGGCCGTGTGTCCTGTGTCACACCGAATTCAATGCCTCTGCTGCACACCAACTCATGCCTACATTGTGTCTTGTGCGTTGCCAGGCCGCGCGATTACGAAGCTGGAACAGCAGTGGCAGGTGTTTTTCTCCAACCCAAACCAAGAGTGCCCTTACTGCCCCTTTCTCAAGCACGACGACCTATGAAACCATGTCGGAGCAACGTGAAGACACGCGCACGACGATACAGAGGCGGAGTGGGGGTGGGTGGTGTTTTGTGTCTCTGCTGTGTTACTGACCAATCGAAAATTAAACACATCTTCCTTTAAATTTCAGTATTGGAGGTGGTGTGAGACACAAACACCAACCAGCTCTGTGACACACCACACTCTCTCTGCTTCGTCTTTGTCTTGATCCCCCACTTGCTCTGCTTGTTCTGCTTGCTGTGTTGTTTGCGAGACAGCCAGGACGCGTACCCGACACAGAAAGACGGGCGCGATGGTATGCACCCGCAACAGAGGCCTGTACAATGTGGTTGTACACGGCTTTGCCTTTATGGCCCTCTTCACGGCCTTCCAGGTGCGTTTTATGTGTTTGCATTTGTGTCTGTGTGTCTGTGTGTCTGTGTGTGTGTGTGTGTGTGTGTGTGTCTGTCTGTCTGTCTGTCTGTCTGTCTGTGTCTGTGTCTGTGTCTGTGTCTGTGTCTGTGTCTGTGTGTCTGTTTGCATTTGTGTGTGTGTGTGTCTGTGCCTGCCTGCCTGTCTGTTTGCATATCTGTCTTCGTCTGTCTCTCTCTGTTTGTGTCTTCGACTGTCCTTTCGAGAAGCAAGAAGCGATCTGCCGCTTGATGAAGCCTCGGCCCACATGTTGTTGGAGACGAATCGCGTGTTAAGCTCACAGTCTCGATTGTGCGAAATGTATGCAGACGTCTGGAGGGTTCCAAACCACCGTGTTGAAGGTGCGTGGCTCTCTCTCTCTCTCTCTATTCCCCCCTTCCCTCTCTCATGTGATGCCCTTGAACACACAGCGCAAATCACCATGTTGTTATGCGTGCACGAACATGTGCATGTATTTGCGTGGGTCTGTGTGTTTCTGTCGACGTCCCTCGCTTCGCGTCGCCGCCGTGATTCTCTGTCTGTTCTCCTCCCGTCACTGCACCTCTCAACATCGCCGTCTCTTTATTGTTCGGCCGCTTGCTTGCATGGTTTGTTTGCCTTGACGGTATGAATCTGGCTTCTGTGTTGCCACAGGATATCATGGGCGATAACCAACTGGGAACAGAGTCCCTGGCAATCATCTACGCCGTCTTTGCGCTGGGCAACTTCATCTCCCCAATTGTCGTCCATTACATTGGCGCCCGCCCATCCATGTTCCTGGTAATGACTCCGGCGATTGCGGCCACTTCCGTCTCCCTACATCTATCACACGCGCGTGTGCTTGAGTATCAGTGCGATCGCGTACCTCGAATGAAAACGAGGACTCACAGCCCCTCTGCTGCTGCTGCTGCTGCTGCTGCTGCTGCTGATTTCCTTGATCACAGGGAGGTATCGGGTATGCGCTGTTCATTGGATCCATCCTCACCCTCAACAAAGCGCTGATTCTGTCGGCGTCTGCTCTTCTCGGTCTCTCCGCTGCCATCATCTGGACTGCCCAGGTGCAGTGTGTGTGTGTGTGTGTATTGTTGTGTATGAACAGCACCTATGTGTTGGCAGTGCTGCGCCGGTGTGCTAGTTTTCCTTCGCACTTTTGTCCTTGCCACAAGCGAGGTATGCCCAGTTCACACACACGCACACACACACACACACTCACACACTCACTCACACACACTCGCACACTAACACAGGGCAACTACATCACGGAGAACACGCTGCCAAACAACCGCGCACAGTACACGGGCATCTTCTGGGCGCAGCTGCAGTCGTCCCTGCTCATTGGCAACCTCATGCTCTACTTCATCGTCCACGGCGACACGGTTTCCCGTGAGACAGCCCTCTTCTTCTACCGCATCTTGTTTGGTGTCGCAGTTGGTGGCACGCTCCTGTTCCTCCTCACCCGCAAACCCCCGCCAAAAAACAAGGTGCGTGTGTGTGTGTGTGTGTGTGTGTGTGTGTGTGTGTGTGTGTGTGTGTGTGTGTGTGTGTGTGTGTGTGTGTGTGTGTGTGTGTGTGTGTGTTTGTTTGTTTGTTTGTTTGTTTGTCTGTGTGGTTGTCTGTCTGTATGGGTGCGACAGAGTGGTACCAGCTGGCATGTGTGCACTTGCTTTTGTGTATGGTGTATGGGTGAACCGAATGGTCTCCTGCGCTTATATACCGCCTCTTCTCATCCAACCAGCCAACTGCTGTGTGCATGTGGTGATGACGCGCAGAACAACGAGGGCGTGCCCGCCGTCAACTCGTGAGTGGACATGACACAAACCTGCTCACTTCACACCCGTCCGACGCAACATGCACCATGACACACTGCGTGCACACCCCACCACCGCCACTTGCATGGCATGCAGCGTGCCACACTACATGTTCCTCACGCGTCCACCTGCAACATGCACACGCCCCCGCTCACGCCGTAGCGATGCTGATTCCTCCAGGAATGAACGCGAGACTGTGAAGAGCGTTGCCTCCATCTTCAGTCAGTTTGCACACACACCACAAGAAATACAACAGCAAACACGCACACGCACACACACACACACCAGGAATGAGTGGCTTGGTTGCTCCACAATGCACGCTGTCACCTCCGGATCACGCTCACACGTGCGCATGTCAATACATTTGCGTGTGTGTGTATGTGTGTGTTGATGTTTACAGAGTCGACCTTCCGCCTGCTCGTTGAAGCGGATATGGTGATGCTCAGCGTCGCCATCATGTACTCCGGTGCGCGCACACACACACACACATACACACACATGCATGCGTACTGCACTTTCGCTGGTGCTCTTGGTTTGCGTTGCTGTTTATGCTGAGTTTGACCTGCTTGGATGTGTGCCTGTGCGTCGAAAGGACAACGCTGCCAACACGCCTGTGGTCATCTGTTTGACTCTTTCAACCCCACTCACACTACCATGCAATCACACCCATCATCCCCCATCCATCCCCCAAATCACCATCGACCGCGGTGTCTGCCGTGCAGGCGCGGCGCTGACCTACTGGTCCGGGGTGTACCCGACACTCATTGGCGATACGTTCCAGCCAAAGGTACTGCGAAGCAGTCTGCTGTGCGTGACGCTGGCTCATGCGTTGCGTGCGTGAAGAGGAAGGCGTGTGTTGTATGTACGATGGCTGGAGCTGTTCCTGCACCACACAACCCCACCGCTGGATAAATGAACGCGCTCCCACACACACACACACACACACACACACACTCACACACTCACACACACACACACTCACACACTCACACACTCACTCACTCACTCACTCCCTCACTCACTCACTCACTCACTCACTCACTCACTCACTCACTCACTCACTCAAACAGGACATTGGCCTGTCTGGGATCATCGTCGGATGCGCTGAAATCCTCGGTGGAATCACGCTCGGGCGACTTGGAAAGGCAACCTCAAACTCATGGTGAGCTGCTGTTGTCGCTGCTGTTGCCGATGATGGCCCGAGTATCCCTCTCTGTTTGCCTGCTTGCCTGTCTGTCTGTCTGTCCTTTTGTGTGTTGCTGCTTTGGATGGCTGTTCTTGTGCACCTTCCATCCGTGTACTGCACTGCACTGTGCGTTGCTGACGCGGGTGGTGTGACTGCAATCGCTGCAGGGTGGTGATTGTGGGGCTGTTTGCCCACGCCGCCGCCTATTTTCTCATCTACTTCAACTACAGGAGCAACACCATCGATCCACAGTCAGTTTACATGGCCCGCACTGCATTGCTTTCTCTGCTCTTCGTATTGTGTACCTGTGTGTGTGTGTGTGTGTGTGTGTGTGTGTGTGTGTGTGTGTGTGTGTGTGTGTGTGTGTGTGTGTCGTCC